AGCTGTGCTCTAGGTATTCAAGCAGCTACTGGATCATGGAGTGACTAAACTCAAAGTATTCGGTGACTCATCCCTTGTTATTTACCAGCTCAAGGGTGAATGGGAAACTAGAAATTCCAAGTTAATCCCTTATCTAGAGCATATCCGTAATATGACTTCAAAAATGGAAAACATCAGTTTCGAGTACATCCCTCAGGAGGATAACCAGATTGCAGATGCATTGGCAACATTATCATCCATGTTCGCATTAGGACAAGAACATGAGATGCCCATCATCCAAGTCAAAAGGCACGATAAACAAGCCTTTTGTATGATGGTAGACAATGGAAAAGATGAAAACCCTTGGTATCATGATATAAGGCGATACTTAACAAAGGGTGAATACCCCGAGGGAATCAGTGACAATGATAAAAGAATCATTCGGAAAAGCAGGGTTTATGTTAATAGGAGAAACCCTTTATAAAAAGAACTTTGATTCTACTTTACTAAGATGCGTCAGTATCGAAGAAGCCCATATACTAATTAGGGAAATACATGAAGGAACCTTCGGGACGCATGCGCCAGGGCATATCATGGTTAGGAAAATCCTCAGAGCGGGATATTTTTGGTCCACAATGGAAAAGGACTGTCATCAACATGCCAGAAAATGTCACAAGTGTCAGGTACATGCAGACAATGTACATGTTCCACCGGTACCTCTTAATGTTATGGCTATCCCTTGGCCATTCGCTATGTGGGGCATGGATGTTATTGGACCTATTGAACCTAAGGCATCCAATGGTCATCGATTCATTTTGGTAGCCATTGACTACTTCACTAAGTGGGTAGAAGCTACATCTTATGCACATGTGACTAAAAAGGTAGTGGTCGCCTTTGTTAAGAAGAATATCATATGTCGATATGGCATCCTGCATCGTCTCATTACCGATAACGGAACCAATCTGAATAATAAGATGATGGAGGAATTATGTCAAGATTTCAAAATTCAACACCATAATTCCTCTCCCTACCGGCCCAAAATGAATGGCGCAGTGGAAGCAGCCAATAAAAACATCAAGAGGATTGTTCAAAAGATGGTTAAAACCTATAAGGATTGGCATGAAAGGTTGCCTTTTGCTCTTCATGGTTATCAAACGTCTGTAAGGACTTCAACAGGAGCTACTCCATTTTCCCTGGTATATGGTATGGAGGCCGTATTGCCAATAGAGGTCGAAATACCTTCCCTGCGAATTATAACGGAAGCAAAGTTAACAGAAGCCGAATGGGTTCAAAGTCGATATGACCAGCTAAACCTTATTGACGAAAGGCGGCTGAATGCTATATGTCATGGACAAGCCTATCAAAAGAAGATCAAAAAGGCTTATGATAAAAAGGTCCACCCTCATACTTATCAAGAAGGTGATCTAGTGATAAAGAAACTGCTTCCGGCCCAGAAGGATAAAATTGGTAAATGGGCAGCAAACTACGAAGGACCCTTTGTGGTCAAAAGAGCTTTCTCAGGAGGGGCACTTATCCTCCCCAACATGGACGGAGAGGAACTTCGACACCCAATCAATTCTGATGCGGTGAAGAAGTATTATGCTTGAAGACATTGCTCAAGACCCGTCAGGAATGAAAACTCGCAAAGGGCATCCCTGGGCAAAAGATAGGGTCCATATTCCTCGCTAGGATACGTCCTAGGCAAAAAGAAGAAAAAAAAAAGTAAATAAAAAAAAAGAAACTAAGAGCAATGGTTACTTTAGGCGAAAACCAAAAAGGCGGCTAAAGTAACATTCTTCCAGAAGCAAGCAGTCTGCATAGTCTTCACTCTGAGCTCAGGCATCTCAACTGAAGCGATTAGGAGAACCAGGGGGCAAATATCATAGACATGACTGTTCAAGCCTATGCAGTACAGCCAACCCCGACCACCCATTCTTCTAAATACCTCTTGAAATTCTTCTGTAAAAGAAATAAACTTTTGCTCATCTATCAATAAAATTCCTTTTCATTTCCTTTCTCTTGACCAAATATTATGGAAATGCCTCTTTATTGATAAAATCATAAATATGCGCAAAGACTTTTTATCAAAGATCAAGCATGCATCTAAAAAGAGGAAGCATAAAAACAATAAAGGAATAAAAGCCTGCCAGGATATTCTTAGGAAAAAACTAGGGTAGCCTGCTAGATCGGAAACCCCAAAAGAACGGTCTAGGCAAAAGATAAGGCAAAAGCCCCCTAAGATATTCTAGGCAAAAATTAAGGCAGCCCGCTAGATCGAAAACCCATAAAGGGCGGTCTAGGCAAAAGATGGGGCTAAAACCAAGAGATGGATAAAAGAGGAGCCCATCATGATGGTCATAAAAAGAGGAGCCCGTCGGCATATTCATGAGAAGCCAACGGGAGAAGGCCAGTTACTTTCTAAATGCATAAAAAATAAATAAACAATAAGATTGCATCTAGAACATCCACACACAAAGTAGTTGCAAAAAACGACTTTGTCAAAATCAAGAAAAAATAATTTTCTTAAAATAACAAATAAACATGCATATAAGGAGGATAGTCTCCATGCTTGTGATTAAAATAGGAGGCGCCCGAATCCAGTCTCCACATGAAAATCAAAATCGCAAAAGGCGAAAATCAAAATTATCTTCAGCAAAATAAGGAACTTCAAGGAAATTAGTTCCAACCACCAATAAAAGAAGGAGAAGAAAACCCAATGGAAAAGGCTCGATCATCCTCAAGAGGATCCTTGCCTATTCAAAGGCAGAAAAATACTCCCTGACTCAACACCGCAACATGAGTCGTCAAACATAAATCACTTGGAGTTGCAATCAGCATCCTTCCACCCAGAAAAGACATCAACAAAGAAGAAAGGCCGGCGGAAAGGCTCGACCATCCCCAAGAGGATCCTTGCCTACTCCAAAGGCAAAATGAAAAAGACTACTTCGTGACTCAGCTGCATTACCACATGAGTCATCAAGCACACTCATATAAGGATCTCCGCTTCATTTTCCAACGGAGAACAAGGGTTACACAAGAGCCCATCATATGAAGTCAAGTTCCCTATATCACCGGGGGGCAACAAAAAGAAAAGAAAGAAAATTTTTCATCCGCAACAGAGGCCACTACAGAAAAAGGCCAAATAAATGTCTCTAAACAGAGCATATCAAGAAAAATCTCCACAAAGAGGAAAAGAAGAAAAATCTTCACCCCGATCAATAAAGGGCCTCACAAAGCCAGGAGCCAGAACTCCATCATACCCTCAGGAAGCCAACAAATTCCCCAGGACCGATAAAAAAGGAAAGAGAAGAAAAGAAAACCTCTTCATCCCCAGCAAATGATAAGAAGCCAATGTACATAAAAAGAGCACACATACAAAAAACCAAATCGCAAAAAAGAGAAATCGCGAGAAAAGGGTAAAAACTCATTCCCCAGCAAAATAAGAGCTTAGGCAAAACCAGCTCAAACAACAACAGCCAATAAGGAGTCGAAAAACTCCATTTCTCCCTAGAGGGACAATTCGAGACAGATCTCCGGAATGAAATTAATTCCCCAGTGGATCATCAACAAGAAAACGATTCCAGT